TTGCATTCAAGGATTTCCAACACAAAAGAGTATTCAAATTATGTCGTTTATTTTGGTAATGATATAATATACACTCACCAGCCACTTTATTAGGTACACCTTACTAGTGGCAGTTTGGCCCCACTTTTGCCTTCAGAACTGCCTTAATCCTTCATGGCATAGATTCAACAAGGTACTGGAAAAATCCTTACAGATTTTGGTCTATATTGACATGATAGCATCACGCAGTTGCTGAAGATTTGTCGGCTGCTCATCCATGATGTGAATCTCCCGTTCCACGACATCCCAAAGGTGCTCTATTGAATTGAGATAAAGGGATGGACATGGTCAGCAACAATACTCAGGTAGGCTGTGGTGTTAACAAAATGATCAGTTGGTACTATTGGGCCCAAAGTGTGGCAAGAAAATATCCCCCACACCATTACGCCACCACCACCAGCCTGAACCGTTGATACAAGGCAGGTTAGATCCATGCTTTCATGTAGTTGATGACAAATTCTGACTCAGCCATCCAAATGTCGCAGCAGAAATTAAAACTCATCAGACCAGGCAACGTTTCTCCAATCTTCTATTGTCCAATTTTGGTGAGCCTGTGTGAATTGTAGCCTCAGTTTCCTGTTCTTAGCTAAAAAGAAGTGGCCCCCAGTGCGGTCTTCTGCTGCTGTAGCCCATCTGCCTCAAGGTTGGTCATGTTGTGTGTTCAGAGATGCTCTTCTGCAGACCTCGGTTGTAATGCTGCGTTCACACCAGATGCGGAACGCGCGTCAAGTGCGAATGATTTACTTGTTAAGTCAATGCAAACGCGCGAATAGACATCCTGCGGCGTGATATGCGCGAATGGCGTGGCGCGAGTGACGCGAATTGTGCAAATGGCGCGGGAGAATTGAGCGTTTTGCGCATTTGACGCGCTTAACGTGCATTTCGCGCGAATCTCTTGAGTTCGAAAATCTGAACTTCAACAGACATTCGCGCCGCGTTAACCAATCAGAAGCTTGCTCTTGTGGGGGCGTGATTGTGACGTAGAACCTGTTGATAGTGTCCCGGGGGAAATCCTCCAGGCGACACCGACAACAAGTCATTAAACTGGGCTTGGCTCAGTCAGAAGCACCGCTGAAAGTCTCCGTCATCCAGGTTCAGTTTCTGGAGGAGTTTATGAGCTCACAGAGCTGGATGCACCTCTGAAAGGATGTAGTGGACTCAGACAGGACCCTAAACGTATCGACACTGTTTTTCAGTCTCTATAAAAAGCACATAAACACTGTTATTTTCTTAATAAAATCCATGTTAGCCATTTAGCTATGAAGCTAGAGTCACAGGGCAGACAGAAGCCCTGCCCATCATGCGAATCCGCGTCTGTTTTGAAGTGAATTTGACATGCGAATGAAGCGGATTTGTCGCGCGAATAAAGCGGGGGTTGACGCGCGAATGAAGCGAGTAAAATCAAATGTTCATGCGGCTATTAATGCGCGAATAGTGTGGTTTATCTGCGCGTTCCGCGTCTGGTGTGAACACAGCATAACGAGTGGTTACTTGAGTTACTGTTGTCTTTCTATCAGCTGGAACCAGTCTGGCCATTCTCCTCTGACCTCTGGCATCAACAAGGCATTTGCGCCTACAAAACTGCCGCTCACTGGATATTTTCTCTTTTTCTGACTATTCTCTGTAAACCCTAGAGATGATTGTGCGTGAAAATCCCAGTTGATCCGCAGTTTCTGAAATACTCAGACCAGCCCGTCTAGCACCAACAACCATGCCACGTTCAAAGTCACTTAAATCCCCTTTCTTCCCCATTCTGATGCTCGGTTTGAACTGCAGCAGATTACTTGACCATGTCTACAAGCCTTAATGCACTGAGATGCTGCCATGTGATTGGCTGATAAGAAATTTGCGTTAACGAGCAGTTGGACAGGTGTACCTAATAAAGTAGCTGGGGATTGTATATGCACTGTTCAAAGATATGCGCTGTAGGTGAACTGAATAAACTACCAGTAAATTGGTGGTAGTGTATGAGTGTTTGAATGTGAGTGTGTATGGGTGTATCCTAGTACTGGGTTACAACTGGAAGGGCATCAGTTGTGTAAAACATATGCAGGAAGAGTTGGCGGTTTATTCAGCTGTGGCGAGCCCTGGTAAATAAGGGACTGAGCAGAAGAAAAGTGAATGAACGAGACTATAAATATTGCAATATTTAATCAGTGCACAAACTTTAATATGTTTGTCTGTTTGTTCACAGTATGGCATGCAGCTTTACCAGAATTTCATCCAGCCATATCAGAAGCAGAAGAGCTCTCCAATGGTGAGCCATAGACATGCACGCACGCACGCACACACACAGACCATAGTCCATAATCTGCTATGCATGTTTAGCACAGCAGAATGTTTAAACCACTGAGAGGCTCCATGATGACCATAAATACATGTTGTACAGTAAAACCAGCACTGAAATACTATATTATTTTTGCTCAGCACATCCTTGACAAGTTTTTTCTCAACAAAATGACTACTAAAACTGATAGCGGTGGCTTGAAATGACAGTGTTGTGGGAACATTTTGATGTCTATCTGTAAATATGTACTTGACTCTTTCCCTGCATGTTCTTCCCGTGTTGGTTGTTTGTGTGTGTTTGTGTGTGTTTGTGTGTGTGTGTGTGTGTGTGTGTGTGTGTGTGTGTGTGTGTGTGTGTGTGTGTGTGTGTGTGTGTGTGTGTGTGTGTGTGTGTGTGTGTGTGTGAGTATGTGTGGATGTTGACAAGATATTGCAGCCGTCTTCTGATCGAGTGCATCTTAAAATACATGAATGACACTTCTCATAGAGCATGAGAAACAAGCAGTTCTTTAGGATCTATATGATTTGTAAAATCAAGACTTGCAGGTTAAGGAAACAGCATAGGAGGAAGTTTCAGAGGGGCCTTGGTGCAGATAAAAGCAAAAAAAAAAGTATTGATAGATAGATAGATAGATAGATAGATAGATAGATAGATAGATAGATAGATAGATAGATAGATAGATAGATAGATAGATAGATAGATAGATAGATAGATAGATAGATAGATGACGGACGGACGGACGGACGGATGGATGGATGGATGGATGGACGGACATACAGATGAACAGAGATAGATAGATAGATAGATAGATAGATAGATAGATAGATAGATAGATAGATAGATAGATAGATAGATAGATAGATAGATAGATAGATAGATAGATAGATAGATAGATAGATAGATAGATAGATAGATAGATAGATAGATGACGGACGGACGGACGGACGGACGGACGGATGGATGGATGGACGGACATACAGACGAACAGAGATAGATAGATAGATAGATAGATAGATAGATAGATAGATAGATAGATAGATAGATAGATAGATAGATAGATAGATAGATAGATAGATAGATAGATAG